ATCTTTCATAGGACATCCGCTTTTTTCTTGACACGTCCACTCCCAAATATCTGGAATTAACGGTTTACCTCTCCATACTCTTCTCCCTCCAATCTGATATCAATCTTTCATCACCTAATCTTTTTGTTATCCTTTCATAAACCTTACTCTTTCCTGTATTCACCTCTATTTTCTTCTTTTGAGGGCCACACCTACCCCCCAAATTCTTCCACCAATCTCTGCAAACTTCTCTTCCAGAATTCCCAAGAGAACAGTGTCATCAGCAAAGAGCAGCTGTGACAATCCCACTTTGTGTGTGATTCTTTATCTTTTAGCTCCACGCCTCTTGCCATGGACCCTGCATTTACTTCCTCTTACAACCCCCATCTATAATATATTAAACAACCACGGTGACATCACACCTCTTGTCTAAGGCCCCTACTTTTACTGGGAAAATAATTTCCCTCTTTCCTACTTACTCTAACTTGAGCCTAACTAATCCTCGTAAAAAAACTCTTCCTGCTTTCCAGTAACCTACTCCTTACACCATACACTTGCAACATCTGCCACATGCCCCCCTATCCACCCTGTCATATGCCTTTTCCAAATCATAAATGCACAAAGACCTCTTTAGCCTTATCTAAATTACTGTTCATTTATATGTTTCACTGTAAAACTGGTCCAACACACCCCCTACTTTTCCTAAAGCCTCCTTGTTCCTCTGCTATCTATTATCCGTCTTACTCTTAATTCTTTCAATAATTACTCTATCATACCACTTTGCCAGCCAGTACTTATCCCCCTATAATTTTTGCACTCTCTTTTATCCCCTTTGCCTTTATGTATCAAAGGGGAACTATGATAATATATAATATAATATTATATAATATATCTATATATATATATATATAATATTAATATATATATATATATATAGATTATATATATATATATATATATATATATATATCTTATATCATATTATTAATTTGTATACTATATTACATGTATTTACAGTGGTCCCCCGCTTTTCGTTAGTTCCCGGCAATCGTAAAATTCGCCAATTAATAGGGGATTTTCGTATAAACATGGACTCACTTTTCATAGGTTGACTCGCTAGTCATAGTTCGTAGTTCGTGATGTCAACTCTGTGGTGTTTATTATATGTATAGATGGGGTTGTAAGGAGAAGAATGTAAGTAAATGCCGAGGGTCTTGGCAAGGAGGCGTGGGTTTTTAGATTAAAAGATAAGAACACACATAAAGGTGGGAGTTGTACACAGTTGCTCACTTTTGCTGATGACACTGTGCTCTTGGGAGATCTGAAGAGACGTTGACAGAGATTTGGTGGAAGAATTTGATATAGGGGTGTGCAAAAGAAGGGAAAATTGAAAAGTGAATACAGGAAAGAGTAGGTTATGAGGATAACAAAAAAGATTAGGTGAATGAAAGATTGGATATAGATTGGAGGGAGAGCGGTATGGAGGAGGTGAATGTATTCAGTATTTGGGGAGTGACGTGTCAGCGGGATGGGTCTATGAAAGATGAGGGAATCATAGAAATTGTAGAGGGGACGAGATAAAGGGTGAGTGGTGCACTTAGGAGTTTTGGAGACAAAGAACTTTGTTCTTGGAGGCAAAAGAGGGGAATGTATTGAGAGTATAGTTTTACCAACGCTCTTATATGGGTGTGAAGCATGGGATGATGGAAATGTTGCAGCGGGGAGAAGGCTGGATGGCAGTGGAAGATGTCATGTCTGAGAAGGAACAATGTGTGGTGTGAATTATAATGCAGAGAATTCGTAGTTTGGAAGTTAGGAGGAGGTGCGGGGGGGATTACCAAACTGTTGTCCAGGAGGGCTGAGGAAGGGTTGTTGAGGTGGTTCGGACATTGTGGAGAGAATGGAGCGAAACAGAATCAATTCAAGAGTGTATCAGTTGTAGTGGAAGGAAGGCGGGGGGTAGGGTCGGGCCTAGGAAATGTTGGAGGGGATGGGGTAAAGGCGGTTTTGTCGTGCGTGGTGGCTTGGACTTACCAGCGGCATGCGGTGAGCGTGTTTTAGGGAGTGAATGGAGACAAATGGTTTTTAAATACTTATGTGCTGTTGAGGAGTGTGAGCAAAGAAATTTATGAAGGGGGTTCAGGGGAAAACCGGCAGGCCGGACTTGAGTCTGGGAGTGGAAGTAAGTGCCTGCACTCTGAAGGAGGGTGTTTGTTTAATGTTGCGTTATTTTAAAACTGTTAGTGTAAAGCACCCTTCAGGCAAGACAGATGATGGAGTGATTGATGGTGAAAGTTTTTCTTTTTTTGGGCCACCCTTGCCTTGGTGGAATCGGCCGGTGTGATAATAAAAAAAAAATATATATTATATATATACAGTGGGACCCCCGGTTAACGATTTTATCGTGCAAGCAAGAGGGGTAATTGTTAGCGAAATAAATCGCTATGTGAATGAATTTTCCACATAAGAAATAATGGAAATTCAAATTAATCCGTGCAAGCACCCAAAAGTATGAAAAAAAAAAAAAAATTTTACCACATGATATATAATTTTTCCCAACACAAAGAGAAGGATACATGCACAATAGGTAGAGTAGTACATGCACAGTAATATTGTGAATGTTACTAGACTACTAAATGAAGACAAATGACATTACCTTTATTGAAGATGCAGCAATGAACTGATTAGACACTGTGATCCTGGGAGTGCCTTTTCCTCCTTAGTACTGTAGGTTCTGTTTGGCATTTTCTTCCAGAAAAGCTTACACACTGTGTATGCCACTTACGATTCTTTAAATCTCTCAAACCAACCTTTGCTGGCTTGAAATTCACCAATATGGCACTAGTTCCCAGTGCATTTTTCCCTGTTCACCTGGGTGTTAGTCGACTTGTGTGGAGTTGCACCTGGAGACAAGATTAAGGACCCCAATGGAAATAAGTTAGACAGTCTTCGATGACACTGACTTTTTTGGGTTATCCTGGGTGGCAAATCCTCTCGGGGTTAATTGTTTCTTGGTATTCCAATAAGCCACACTACAACGGGTGCATACAGGCAGCAGCAGCAGCAGCTGACAGTGGCAGCAGCAGCAGCAGCTGACAGGGCAGCAGCAGCAGCAGCTGTACCCCACCAATAGTAGCGATGGTTTGATTGGGGTTTAGGTTTATTATACAACTGGCCAGCTCGGAGACATGCAATTCCACTTTCTATACTTATCATGATCTTTTTCTTCTTCTTCTATTGTAATTTCTACCCTTATTGCTGTAGGGTTGGCACTAGAAAGCTTTCATGGGGCCTCATGGTCA